TCCAGCAACAAGCCCCTACTTCGGAGCGGCTACGTATGCTGGGTTTTTGGGAAATTGTAGTCGGTGAGTTTACTACTTTCTTTTACTACTTCTGTGAAATTACTACTACTTCTACTTCCTGTTATCTTCTTTATCATCATCTTTTTCGCCAGTAGAAACAGCCGGTTGTTGATCACGTGACTCCCGTGATGCGAAAAAGCGTTTCCATTGCAGTTTTGCGAAAAACACAAATTTCGATACGGCCGTAAAACCACCTCATCCTAGCGTAAAACCATTTTGTTGAAAAACATATTTTTTTTTCTAAATTGACGTGTTTCTTTTGAGCAAATTTATTTTCGAAATTCAAATTTGCGCATTTTCATGGTCAATGGAAACACAGGTAATGTTCTTCTGACTGCATAAAAATAAACTGAATTTATTCAGATTGTATGGATGCAATACATGCTATGCTCTGAGTCTAAAATCTTATGGCGGGAAAAAATGGCAATATATTGCCTTGCTTACAGTATCGCAGTATATTGTAATATATGGTAACCCCTACTGTATATTGTGATCCTATCACCAAATTTTTGCCAATACACAGTCCTAGTGCTATATTTTCTTTTAACCTGCTGCCAAAAGGCAAAAATGTTTTTACCTGATTCTTGGCATGTATTTGTGTGCCGTCACCAAAGTATTTCACGAACCACTGGACACAAGTAGACGTAACACTTCACTAGCTTTTTTTTTTCTTGGATGCTGATTAGAATATTTTAGCTCTTGGTGTTTACGGTAATCTTGCCTTTATCCCCTGATTTATTAAGCTGTTGTTGGTTCGAAACCAGCACGGGGCTTGGTCCTCTCTGGAACCAGATTCTTTGGCGGCGCAGACAGGACAGCTCAGGCTGTAAAAATGAACCCTGAAACAAAAAAACATCTGACCAGATGCAAAGTCGCCTGAATGAGGGGAATCTGCAGTGAAAGATTTGTGTCTGAATATTTGCAGCCAGTATGAAAATCAGTCAGAATAAAGCTAAACAAAAAAAAAAAGACAACAAATTGAATATTATTAATGTCAAGTTTATGTTTTTACACAAAGACTGCATTAGTCGTGGAATAAAACACTCCTGAAGTAGTTGGTAACTGATGATGTGGGAAATGTGCAGCATTCTGGCTGGCGTGCCTCCTCATAGGCGAACACCGAATCAATAGCAGTGCTGTCCATTTGCTCTGCTCTGTTCCAAATCAGTCTGAGTCCATCTTTCAGCTGAAATCCCCACTGAGATGTGCCGTTATGCAAGAGGCTACATTTGGGGATTAGCACGTCGTTTTCAAAGGTGGACATCAAGAATTCAATAGCATTTATAGGTCACAAATCCCATGCTGTTATGTGTTATACTTCCAACAAAAGGTTTCCTGCATGCTTGGTTGTGTCTTTCAGTAGATTTAGTTCCAGAGCGAACTCAAGAGTTCGCACTTTGTGAAGCGAAATAACGTGGAAAAACAAAAACAGATTTTCTACTCTTCAAGAAACTTTTTTTTGTTTTTGGCAAAACATGTGAAACATATTTGTATTTGTGGAGATAATTAGAGAATATTTTTCCTACTTTACTGATTTAATTTTTTTATTTGGCAACCTTTTGGTGTTTTTATTAAACCAGTAAAATGATCCAAATCTGGCAGCAGAAGAAAACCAAACTAAGACGGATAAATCGAATCTTAATTTGACTTTGCAAAGCTATAATTTGAATTCTCTGGGGCATAAAGACAATTCAGATATACATCAGTGGGTACAATATTTCACATTAAAAGCTTTTGTCTGCTGTAAAAGCTCATCTGTTGTTGGAATTTTTTGTAAGTTTGTCTCTTTACGATTGTTTATGGATGCATGCAGTGGACCCAGGATTGTCAGAGGACCAGAGGAGAAAGAAAGGGGCGGGAGTGTTTGTATTTGCTTGTGTTCTTTGTATCTCATGTTCAGCAATGCATGATGGAAGGGAATGTGTGTGAGTGTGAGAGAGAGTGTGTGTGTGTGAGTCTGACTGTTGCATAAGAGGATCTGCTGCTGTCCCAGAGCTTAACGGATTTAAACCTCTCTTTCTCACTCTCTCCTGCTGTCTCTCCTGTGTCGTCTGCCTCTTCTGCGTGCTCTGCTGGATTTATTAATCTCTGTAATTGCATGTGCGTCGTATGTGTAATTATATGTTGAATAACTGCGTGTGGGTGTGTTTTTTTCTGTTAACATTTCAAATAGCTTTATAGAACAGTTATATAGGATGGTCAAATAACTGTAAACACTTTAATTGTTAAGAAAGTGTGCTGATGCAGTCGTTTGATAATATATGACAAAGAGACAAATTTTAATAAATATGAAAACTGATCTAAAATTAACATGCTAACTTTAATTAGATTTTTTTGACATATGCTATCATTACAGTGTCAGTAAAGCAAAATTGTTTTATGTCCATAATGAAGCATATTGTAAAAAATCAAACACCTTATAATATTTTCCTCTAGTGGCAATCAGAGATTTTAAAACTGAATCATATTTCTTCGTGCCATTTCTGTAAGTTTTTTGCAATTTCATTTGGCTTCCTCTTCCTCTTGTCTTCTTGACGTCTCATAAAGTTAGAAGAGAATTGGCTTCACTGATGATTCATAAACAACTGGTTTGGATGAGACGCTTTAGCTGGACATGCTTTGTTGGAAAAGTTTTATTTGCTAGCCTTTCTGCAGCAAACAGATATTCAGCCAAGCAGCTGACTCTTTGTTTTCTTGTTGAAGAGGGGTTTTAGTTTGCAACAATAAAAAGCCCACTGTCATTTGCAACCATAAACGGGTTTATTGCTTCATAGCGTAACAACCACTCAGTTCCTGATCTGGTAAAATGCATGAACTTAACGTTCGACCTATTATTTTCAGTATGAAAATGATCTGCATGAAGCGCACGATCAGTGTGTTTTAGAAGGGCAAGCTCACTTAAGTAGGTAAAAATTAAATTGTGAAATAAATAAAGCCTCTTAAGTTATCAATCAAATTGATTTGAGCCTTAGAGAAAGACATTTGGAAGTTGCAGGATGCCATTATTTCTACCTTTAGTGATACTTCAAGGAGGGTTTTACTTTTTAATCGTTTTTGTTTTAATTTGAAATGTTTGGCCACAAAAATCAGCTGCATGGGAGGATTTAGTAATTTTTTTTGGTTTAGGTGCTTTAGTAGATGTAAGATTTTAAATTCTATTCTGAATTTCACAGGTATTCAATGAAGAGAACCTAAAAGTGAAGGAATATCTCTTAACTCTCATCAAACTAAATAACTCTTAACAGCAGCAACTAAATTATGGATTCAAGTAAAAAGAATCAACTTTTCACCTCTTAAGTCTCTTTTTTTGTTAGGAAAAGAGTTTATTAGTTTATCAGGCCTGAGCAAGACTAGATTTAGAAGTGTGCTTTTAGTGGAGACTTTAAAAAAGTCGGTCTTTTATCATCTTTGTGGATCTCAGTCAGCTCTGCTTCTGCTCGTTCACCCCCCTGCCACCTCCTAACTTCTCTTTATTGACAGGGTTTAGCTTGCCCAGCTCCCAAAACTCCATCTGGAAAGTTTGGAATGATAATAAAAGCATACAGAGACGTTCCTGTTTTACATTTGGCTCATAGGTTCAATCGGTCAAGTTTCAAGTCGTTAGTCTGTAAAATAAACATTATTGTTAAAACGTACTTGTGCACTGGTCAGAATTCGAGCATGTGACGTCGTTTGTTGTATTTATTGTTACTGTTACAAATGCTACAGTCAGTAATTCCTAAAAAGCAGACGGTGTTACTGTGAAACTTACTAATGCCACACAATGTGGATGGCACATGACAAAGTCACATAACTTTAGAACTTTTTTTTTGTTTACTAACAGGGATTGCCACAAATCTTTTAGTGATGACGATAAAAACAAAACAACTTTTAGTTATCCTGGGCTTTACGGCTCTAAAGTGACTAACGCTGCTCATCTTGTTCCAGCACAGAACTGCGCTGCGAAAAAAAATCTGCATCTTGGCCTTCAGATGGATGCTACTTTGACACTTCCCACCTACATGAGCATTTTTAAAGACAAATCACACCCCCAGACAGTAACAGCACTTTCCTAGTGCATCAACCCATCCTCAGTAGGACGGCAGCTGACCTCACAAAAACACTTACTGTGTATTTTCCAGGCACATAGTTCAGTTCTATACCACAGTCAAGTAACTATGTTACTTTCATTTGTTATGAAAACACTACATACATCAAAAATAAATTTAACTTTGCATCATAGCCTCCTTGAAATTGGCCTCTTTCTCTGTAAGAATCTCCTACCGTTTCCTACATTCCCACTTCAGCATGTCTTCACAACAATGCTTCGGGGGCGAGGCGTTCTCTGGTGCAGGAGCTCAGCTGCAGRAGAGGAGCTTTGGGTTAATGGGCGGAGCTTTGTATGAGCGATCGTTTAGGCACCTCCTAATGGCTACCACAGGAGAGTGAAAGATTTCTCAGACATGCATGACACTGGGGATGTTTTCGATGAGGGGATGACATTATGAGATGATATAAAGCTAAAGTCAATTTTGCGTAACMCMSCCCCCCCMACCCTTTAAAATGGCGTTTTCTGAAAAGTTTCTAGTTAACCAAGCAAGTTGTTTTCATGCGTTTCATTTTAGATCTGTCAAAGCTATTTATCAAAGGGCACAATGGAGATAATGGGAAAGCTTTTAAACACAGTCGGCATAACAGACGCAGGTTTCTCTTTCAACAATAGCAGGAATAAATAAAGCCCGTTGTTGATGTTGGGATAACAGTTATAAAGACAATGATTCTAATGGTGATAATGACTCAAGTGCTGGTGAGAAGTGTAATTCTAGTGAAGATAATGACCTCTTGCATGTGGGCTGGCGTGTGTTTGTGCTCGAGGACAGCCCCCCTGCTGCCCTCGCTGCGCAGCTGTGTAATTTCTCACTGATTTACTCGGAGTTTCTCTCTGTCTTGTGTCTGCGTAGATTGACTTGGAGCCGGAGGGTAAAGTGTACGTGGTCATTGATCTGTCCGGATCCTCCACTGAAGGTAAGCCCGCCCCAGTTTCTCTGGTGCAGACATAAACCATCAATACGCCAAAGTTTGTTATCTCGTATCTGCGTGTTGCTGCAGCAGACGTGTGCAAAAGCTGGGGGCAATAAGCTTGAAAAGGTGGAATTAATTAGCAGTAATTAGCTGCTTGTGTTTTACCTCCACCACTGTATCGTATCTCATTCCACTTTAATGTTATGTAAGCTTGACAGAAACATCCAAAACAAATCATTTTTTTCTCATTTGTATTGATTATTTTTGTTTTTGCCCTAAGYGCCGTCAAGGTGATATGGTTAACATGTCAGCAAACTCCAGCTTTACGCTGACAAACAGAATGATTAGAGCAAACCAAAAACAACAAAGGCAACCAGAAAATTACCTGAGAGGCATAGAACATCGAGACTTGTCTAGATGTAAGTTTTCATTAGTATGGCTTTGCAATAAAATGATATATTATATAATATTCATTCATCCTGAAACCCTACTTTGTTGCTCTTCTTCTGCATGGAAATAAAAAGCTGCCATTAAATATCAAAAAGTTAACTGTTAGTAAAATTATTTTTATTTCCTTACCAGCTATTTGTTCAGCTGGGCACCTCTTAGCTTTACTGATCAGGTTTACTTGTTGCTGTTCTTATTATATTGTTTGCAGCTGTTTAATGGTTCACCAAATTACACAAACTAGTTAGGGACTACAGCAGCTAATGGAGAACATTGCAGCTACATTATGAAGCTAAAAGACAGGTATTGTTGGAGGTAGTTCTGCCAGAAGCCCAGACACAGACTCTAATTAAAGTTACTGTGGTTTTGTAACGGCTGGATGTGAAAATAAGCAAGTTAGCTTTAAGAAAAGTGTGAAAACTGATGTTTGTGTCGGGGCTCTGTCCAGGGCTTGTTTTCACTGCCCCCAAGTGGCTGGACGTTACAAGTATAACAGGGTTGCATCCTTGTCACGATATCCTTGAAAGTGGAGGCCGCGGGATGTGATGGAACACCCGAGGACGAAGGATTTTCCCTTTTTTTTCTTTCTTGCCTTTTGTTTCCCTTATCTCTTTTAAATAGTCAACTCAGGTTAGACGTGTAATCTCTGCCGGTCACTTTCTCCGTCCACGCGCCTTAGCTTGGTCACATGCTGCCTGATAAGAGTGACTTTCAGCCACACACGTGTAGCTTCACACCTGGTTATAAATAGAAGCGGGTTTTGTGCCTCGCAGTCTTTGTGACGGTGGCTGGATAGCCTGAGTGCAGCCGAGGAGGCCGGCAGAAAGCTGCGGGGCGCGTTTGTTTTTGTAAAAAATGGACGAAGAGAGCTGAAAGAAAGTGAGCAGAAGCCTAAAATAGTAGGTGATATTGAACCATGGATTACACACAAACACACACGCCAGACTCATGCATCCTTGTCTTGCCCTCTTCATCGATGATTGGCCACTCAGCTGTGACCTCACGACCCACTCTCCGCCCACTTCTGAACTTCCTCTCCTCAGTTCAGCTGGCTCTGGAGCCCATCGTGTTAATGTATGCTGATAAAAACTAATGGCGTGTGTGTGTGTGTGCGTGTGTGCGTGTGTGTGTGTGTGTGTGTGTGTGTGTGTGTTGCTAATGGAAAGGAGTAATGGTAGGAGAGATGGAGGGTGAGAACTAGAGGAAAGAGTGGTATTTTTAGCAGATTTTCTTTTTTTCTCCCCCTGGTGCAATCTGTTCTCTGCAGTTTCAGAAGCTGGAGGGACGTTTCTCACCATCTTTTTCATTCCTTCTTTTTCCTCTTCTCTTCATGCTGATGAATCTGTTGGTCTCAGGGAGTTTACAGTTATTATTTCATCTACAGTAATTTGACAATCTATAGTCCAAATCATTAAGACAGCCGTTAGTTTTTTTGTCGCATTTATGAAGAGTTTTGTACATTTTTTTGTCTATTCTCCCCTCTATATACCTTTCTATTTTAGCAATTTTTAAAAAGGGTTATTGTTTTCTTTTAAATTAGTCACTTAGTCATAAYTACACAGGTACGTTCAGTCAAATTTATATGCCGCTACAACTTCAAACAATTAAAACCTCCAGGGTGGATCATTTGAAGGTGAAGAGTGCGTCTCTCATCTTTATTGTCTATTTTAATCCAAATATAAGGTTTTGTTTCTGCATAAATTGTCCGTTTAAGATGGTCCGTGTCAAACAAAAACTGCTTTTACAGATTGCAGCTGTTTGCAGATGTTCTGCACAGCTGTCACATGAAATAAATGTGCAAAATATTAAATTATTTTAACAAAATAAATGTTATAAACACTTGGTTGCAAAGACAGTGTTGTTTTTAATCCAAACAAAATGTGTTTTTTTTCTGCAAATGCATAGAAATCTATTATTAATTTAGTTTTTTAAATATATTTACTTTGAATATACCTTCATTTATTCTATTTGACAACCCACGTTTGCTGCTGCTTCAGGGTTTTTTTTATTCAGCTCATGTAAGCACATACAGAATTAATATGAACTGAAAATAAAGATATCTTAAATGGAAAAAGTGAACATTTCATCTTATGTTTTATTTCTTGGGCTGCCATTTACACTGTAACTTTGTTTTATAGAAGTATTTCATTGTAGTTTTGTTAAAAATACTTGTAGCTGTTTTGTCTTTTCATCATATTTTGTTTAAATCATCATCATGCTGCTGATTGAGGATTTTTTTGTCGTGTTTAAACGTTTTTATTGGATGACCTCCTCGCAGTTGTTTTCTCAGATTACGTCTGTCTTTGGAGCAATATCGCTGTTTTTACGACTAGTCTTAACCTCTCCTTGTCAGTGTGTGTGTGTGTGTGTGTGTGTGTGTGTGTGTGTGTGTGTGTGTGTTGCATGCTAAACAGATGGATGATGTATTATGTAAAACAAAATGATTTCAGTAATGGCCTGTTTAGCTGCCGCTCCCCTCCAACCAAACGCCGCCATCTCAAACACAGCTATACGAACGCACACATTTCTACACACACAAACCCAGAACGTCCCTCGTCATCCTGTCTGTAATCGAACTCTGGAGAGGCTCAGCGGTAACCACATGTACAACGCACCCTGGAGAGAGATGCTGGGAGAGTGAAAGAAAGGCTAACTAGGACAGGAGCACACAGAGACGGAGCGTGTGTGTGTGTGTGTGTGTGTGTGTGGGAGTGAGAGTGGAGGTGGTTCTCTTGTCTTAAGGTTACTCTTGGAAAGCATTTCTCTTCCAGGGGAGATGTAGAGAGGAAGTAAAGGATTGGTAGGATGGTGCTCATCGAGGAGTATTTTAATATGCTGTCCTTCGTTTTAGTGCCCACACATGAAATTATAAATGGCTCGTACACTTACGTATATGCATAGGCTTGTGGTAGGTGTGTGGAGAGGGGAAGGAAGAGTAGAGGAAGACGAGAGGTTGTTAAACGATGAGCAACTTGATGCACAATACCTTTGTGTAGAAGAAAATCCTATTTAAGAGTGTAAGAAAGCAAATTTAATCGTGACAATGCAGTATGAATGCCGAATATCTGCTGAAACTCACTGAACTAGCTGAATAGAGTTGCTAAAGCTAAAAAAACCCAGAATAGATCAACTTCTAGATTAAGTTTTAGATAAACTTTGTTAAAAAGCAGCAAAGTTTATCTRAAAGCTGAAAGTAACAAACGACTAGCTACAACCTAAAACCAATAAAAGGTTATCTAAAATGAGCAAAAACCAAGTATGAAAGGCCAACTATAAGCTAAAATTAGCAGGACAATAGCTTAAGGCTAAAAATAACAAAAAGGCTTTGTCAAAAAGCTAAATGTTGCAAGATACTGGTTAAAAGGATCAAGGGCTAGCTAGAAGCTAAAAATTGAGATTGGTAGCTAAAAGTAAAAGTAGAAAAAAATTGAAATAAATTTAGCAAAATTCTAGCTATAAGCAAAGTGTAGCAAATGACTAGCTAAAACCCAAAACCATCAAAAGGATATTTACAATAAGCAAAAAAGGCTAGCTAGAAGCTAAAAAATTGCATAATGGTAGCTAAACCTTAAAGTATTAAAAGGCTAGCTACAGGCTAAATGTTGCACAAGACTATATAAAACCTAAAAAGCTATCTAAAATAAGCAAAAAGCTAACAAAAAATATCAAAAGTTAACTTGAGGTTAAAAACTGCCGAATAGTAGGTAAGAGTAGCAAAAAGCAAGCTCAAAACTAAAAGTAGAAAGCTATTAGTTAAAAGTACCAAGGCTAGATAAAAGCTTATAATTGCAAATTGCAAAAAGCTAAAAGTAACAAGACTGCTGAAGCAGGTTTAGATCTGAAGAGATTGAAAATTATTTCTATGTGGAAAATATTTCTGTAAATGAACCAAAAGTCATAGCACTCGTCATCTGAATGTCATTTTGAGATTGTTTGAATGGTTGAAACAGCACAAAATAGGCAAATAAAATTGCTTAAAAAATTACAGAATAATGAAAAAACATGAAAACAACAATAAACCTAAAAGTTCTTTTGTGTGTGTGTGTGTGTGTGTGTGTGTGTGTGTGTGTGTGTGTGTGTGTGTGTGTGTGTGTGTGTGTGTGTGTG